AACTTATCCAAAGCCATACAACTAAAAAATGACAGTGTTTTGTATTTTGTAGCTAAAACCCACGCTTTTAGCTACTCTGCTGCCCTCTGGAGATATTATTTAGTTCATTATTACAATTCAGAGGAGTATCTGTATGTAAGCATCATGTTTCTTTAATTCTAAGATATGTATTTTAAAATCACATTTTAAAGTGATAATTGGACAGTTGGTGTGTACATATAAAGTGCTAGTGATATTCCTGCTTCTCCATACACCTTTCTCTAGCCCATAGCAGTTGAATACAGGCAAGTCAAAAGCAATGGTTTGTACAAGTCACAATGCATAGGCTATAGTAGTTTTTCTTTCATCAGCTTGAGATCATTTTAGAAGGCAGCTTCTATCCTACATTGCTACAGCAAATCCTTCTGTCTCACCAAACCAATTCTGCTCAGCCAACATTTAGTCATATTATAGTTTGTCTATTATTGAATAACCTGTGTGGGTCTCCTTACCTTTTTTATTCTATTTGTACATTAAAAATAATGTTGTTTAGTTGTTTTTTTTTATTGTTGTTTTTACTTGACTGGCTCTTTAAAGACAAAAGGGGAGGGGGTCTTGGAGTTTACTTGCTACCACTTAAGAAAACTTCACAGTGGTCGAGGATTTAATTTCATCAGGAAACATTCTCAGCTTCAGTTAAAATGTAAAATGCTTTCTTTAACCCCAGGATAAAATAAAATTTCATTTGCTTTTACTTTTCTGTAATAATGCCAATAAGGAGATATTGCCAGGGGCACAAGGGAAGCCAATTCTATTGCTGAACAAATCGATGGAAAATCTACTTGCCAAATTCTGAACATACTCACTGAATGTGTATTAGGAACACACACACACACACAACACACAACATACACACACACACATCACACACAAACACACTCACACTCCCCCAACCCACTGCTGAACTATCCAGAATAAAGATGAGATTTCCTTAGAATAACTTAACACCTTACTACGAACATTCTCACTCTCTCAAATGCCTTACACATAGATACTAACACAGGTTCATGTGAAGTTATGAACTGAAAACACGTATAATCTTGATTAACAGATAGCATTTATGGAGTGATAGCATTGAGAGAAGACTGTGAGTCTGACTCCATTCTAAGCACTTTAATCCTAGAGCTGGTGTCATTATTATCCCTACTTTTCAGATGAAGCACTGGAGGCACAGAGAGAATATGGACATTGACTAAGGTATCCTGACTAGTGAAGGAGAGTCTGGCTCTCAAAGAACCCTTTCTCTTTGCCTATACACTGTATTGCCTCTTGCTGCATATGCAAATCAAGTATGGTTTTCTAGAAAATGCTAAACAAAACTCTAAGTGGTGATGAAAAAAGATAATTCTGGTCAACATTTATTGAATCTTTACCTGTGAACTCAGGCACTGTGTTAGGCTCCCTACCCCCATGATCGTATTTAATGCTCCCAACGTAGGGGCTTAGATTTTATCATCCTTATTTTGTAGTCAGGAAGACTGAGGCTTAGAGGGCTCAAGAAATTTGCTCTAGGTCATAGAGCTAGCTATTGGCCAACCTGAGATTCAAAGATTCACTAGAGATGTCTAGGGCTTATTCCATTGCCTAACAATTCTTGCATGAACTCCCGATCCACTAAGAGAACTACTGTCTGTGTTCATAGCAATGCCATATCCAATATCAATTTTATGACCACTAATAACCAGGAGGACATTTGCTACCTTCCTGTCTTAAAGCCGAGTCTGACCTAATTTTAAAACCTTTTAACATTCCTGGGTGAGACATGTACTTTGTGACTTAGAATGTAGCATTTCTGTTAAAATGAGTAACTCTATTAAATAGTAGTGCCTGCCTTTTGAATTAATGGTACATGAATAGGAAAGTTAGAACTTACAGAAATGACAGTTTTACTTTCATATTTGCTCAAATTACTGGTTCTGGTGAACCAAAAAAAAAAAAAAAAAGGGAGCAGAAATAAAAACCCTTTGATATAGTGAGATTTCCTATCTGTCTAAATTTATTGGGATACAGTTAATGGAGACACAGATTCCAAGATGGGGAAACAAACTTCTAGTTTGTGAGATTTCTTCCTATTGAGAGTGGAAGGCCAGGACCCTAAAGGAAGATTCTGGCATGTCTCCTTACGTGGGGTAGGCATCTGCCCACCTGAGGCAGTAGACGTGGTACCACTTGTGCTGAGTGTCAGGGGCTAGCACAAGTTGCAGGAGGTATGACTGCTTCACATGACTTCCATTTGAATTTTAAGGGTGAGGTTGTGGCTTGGGTTGGTTATATCACTGGCCCAAGATCATAAGACCAGGAAGAGGCAGTCCCAAGTAAGTCCGGATTCAAAGGCAGTGTTCTTACCTACTGGGCAATCCCATCTTTTGTTTCCAAGTAGCCAAAAGAATCTTAGCAGGTGGAGAGTGAAGATCAGGGCATTTTGGAATAGAATTATCCCACTTGATGCCTTCTCTACACACCTAACAGAAAAATGTGCTTTTCAAACATAGGTTTAGATTTTAATGCAAATTACAAAAGTTAAAAAAAGAAGAGAAAGAAAGAGAGAGAAAGAAAAAAAATACAGTTGACCTCAAAAGCTCTAGTAAAATAGTCTCTAAATTTATAAGAGTTTTCTCTTTATACCTTTTCTTGGAAAATTCTTTGGAGACTTTTAAGAAATTGAAATGGTATAGTAATTCTATTTTCCATGTTATTTTGAACAAGGCTAATTGTATTAACCTGGTTCTAATGTATTCTTACCTTTTGTATTACCCTAACACAAGCCACACACACACACACACACACACACACACACACACAACATAAACCAAATAATCTTTGCTTGTATCATTTGGGTATAATTTGACTACAGGCTGTTTACCTCATCTTCAAAGGCTCAAACACGTATCTCTGTGCCAACAGATGCAGGGTATGCACCCTTTTCTGGGAAAATGACTGTGTTTATTCCCAAAGATTACAAAGATTAAGACAAAAAAAAAATAGTGTTTCATGAATGTGGCCAAATCATCTTCTTGAGAGGTATTTTAACTCTAGGACTCTTTCTGTACTAGGAGGTGGATAAGATACCATAGGACACGTGTTAAAACACAGGCAAGATGTCATGAATGGGCATGATTAGTGTCTCTATAAATGTAATTTTTTTTTCTACTTTGAGAGGTTTGTTTACTACATCAAATACCATAGCAGAGTTTCTAATTATCTCTTGGCTACCTTTGGGCTGGGAGCTATCCCTGGGCTCAGAGGCTAGCAAAGATTGTAACTCTAGTCCCTGAGAATTTGTAACTGGCTAAATGATCAGCCATTAAATCTTCAGAAAAAAAAAAAAAACTCCTAAAAATTCCTTCTACATAATAAAGCATTTTACCCATCATAAATACTCAAGTGGTAGAATATGGTAGTGCATTTTACTTGAATGTTGGAACAGAAAAATCAGAGGGAAATACCCATCCAGGGAAGTGTGGTTCCTATCTTAAGCTCTTAAAATTTACATCTCAAGGGCCATGCACCTGGCAGGAGTGAAAGAGGGTGTTCTATTTCTGGGCACAGCTCTAGGAAGTATCTTCCAGGACCGAACTGATGTGAATATGAGTTATAGATATTAAAACCAACTTTTCCTCCACCCCAGCAACCTCATCCCTCCAGAAATCTTAATAGGCTTTTGAGAGCCTCCATTTGGAGCTGGCTGCATAAAATGATCCTTTGATGAAAAGGGATTGGAACAAGGGTTAAAGCAGACATTGAAAGGTTACTGTAGAGGGCACAGTGTTCATACAACCCTCCTTTAATATGTGTGGTGTGCACCTGTGATAAGATGATTCATTACATGGGGCCTGTCTTTGACAAGCTCCATCGTTCAGCCCTCCGGGTTCTGACGGGACAATCCTGTACCCGCCCAGGAAATATAACAAGGTCAGCTTTTTCTTTCACTGGGACATAGATGAAGATGGTTTGGCTTATAATGCATCTTTGTTTACTCTTTATGTAAAATAAAAAAACAGGGTTTAAGACATTGCAATTCCTGCTCTCCACATAGCAGGCCAAGCAGAGTACATAAACAGACTGCAGGATAAATGAATAACTCTGAGAGAGAAAATCTTTATGAGGATGCAAGCTCCCTGTGTTTCGTGATTATAAGCAGCTACATTGGAGAAGCACATACCCTAACAGTGAAGCTGGGTTCTGGGTCAGGCTTTCCATTGGAAGATACTCCCAATATGGTCAGATTCCACTTGCTTATATTTATGCACCTTTTAGGTTTTTTGGGTTATCTGAAGCTCTGGTGAACATGGGCACATTAGCCATGGAAAGGAATGGACTCTTAAGATAGGAGGATATAACTGGCTCTGACAGACTAAAGAAAATCTACACTCAAGAAAGAGACCACCCAGCTGCTAGGAGAATCAGCAAGAGGCCAGAGCCACAGGGCTTACTTGCAATTGGCATCTTTCTAACTCACCCTTTTGTCGCTTTTATAGGACTTCTTCCTTAGTTTCCCCTACACCCAGAAGTTGGCTTTACTGAGATTTGTTTAGAAATCTACAGCAATCAAGGAAGGAAACTTACCAGTTTCCTCTATTATATCCAAGGTTTGTTTTTTTTTTTAGTGCAAAATAAAAAAGCAAAACTGAAATTTTATTTTTAAATTTAACTTTTGTTTGTTTCAAAGAATGCCCCAGTAACGAGAGGTAAATTCTTCAACTAAGGTCATAACATGAGTCATTGTATAAAAATAAAAACAAAATAAAACTTTGACATCCTCGGGGAAGGAAAGAAAAATCTTGCTTCTAAAATATAGAAACACCTCCCAACCCTTCTCCTATTCTTGACATTCCTAGTAAACATTATTTATTTGCCTCAGATAGATGCAGTTACATATCACTGTCATGCAAAAGAAATTCATTTCCTTTCCGAGTTCAATCTGCCATAAAAATTCACTCTTGTTCCCATCTCCCACTCACCTGTCCTTGTGCATTAGTAACTAGTTGACCTGTGACCCCCTGAAGACTGGAGAGGGCATTGCCAAAGGCCTGTGAGCTTGCTATGGAGCCCATGGCTGCTGCAGCCGCTGCGGCCTGACTTGCTAGAGGATTATTAACCAGCTGCAAAGAGAGAAAAGATCAGGGTGAAAACCACCGAGAGGCAAAGGCACAGCACACGGACATAACATTCACGTGGAGGGGGAGATAGTTCTCGCCCCAATTCTTTCATGCAAAGGGCCCCAAACCCACTGGCGGGGCCTGGTAAAGAATCCCTTGGAAGCTCCAGGCTTGGGGAAGAACGGAAACAAGGCTGGAAGAAAACCTCCACCAACAGTGGGCTGCTTGGTGGAGTGTGGGCTTAAAGCTAGTCCCAGGGGGGATGAGTGTGAACATGGAGGATAGAGAGATGATTTTGGAGGAGTCCCTGGATTTTGTCCTCTAGAGTAAATAAAACTCTCAGGAAATGATCTGCTTTTCTTGAGATAATCATGGGAGTAAAATAGGATGTGGTAGGGAGATTTGTGAATGATTCGTCACTTCCACAGGAGAATTGCAGTTTCTTTTAGAGTTGATGGTGAGGCAGATGTCCCAGCCCATTTTCTTCTTTAAGGGGAGTCAGAGTTACTAGAGATGGAAATCTGTGTGCTCAGAGGACGAGTCCAGGGCTAGGACGTTTTGCGGGGCTCACTCTGACCATGGGATTCAAGGTCAAGGAGAAGGTCCTTTAGTGCAATGTCAGGTTGATCTTTACTTGCTGTGTTAGCTAATGCATGGACTTCTTTTGGCCTCTTTACTGAGACAAGGGTAAAACAAAGAGGAAGAAAGAAAGTGGGGAGAGAGACCAGCTCAGGGAGGAGGTTATGGCTGCCAAAATCTGTTTTTTCCATGGAGACCAATTCAATATTCTTTATCCTGCCAATTTTCCACGCCACAGGTTTTCAGGCCTTCTGACCATGAGGCAGAAGTGTGGCTTGAACTGAAATCTGCATTTAGGTTAATGACTAGATATAAATTCAAGAAACATTTAAACTATTTTCACAGTATTGGTTTTGATACATGAATTTCATTTGTATTTATTCTAGGGTGTTATTTTTTCCCCATATAGTTTCTCTCAAGTACAACAATTGTTGTGTATAATAATGCATTTTCCATCACCAGTTCCCACATCCATGAAATTCCTGCATTTTAGCAGAAACCTGCCAAGGCTAAAACTTGGTAGGAAAAAAAATTAATGCCATACTTAATTCAAGTTCTGGTTGCTCTTCTAAAAATGCTTTTCTTCTTCTTCCTCTTTTTTTTTAAAAAACTTTTTTTCTTTAATTTCTTCATTCTCTGTCTCAGCCTCTCTTTTTTCTCTCCTTTCCCTCTTCTCTCAAAACATATTTTATGATTTAATTCCTTTGGAAACTTGCCTACACTTTTAATCACCTGATGAGGAAGAAAATACTAATTATCAGAGGAAATGTAAAGGAATCAGAATTTAATAATTATTTTTTCATTAATGTGATATTCTTATCTTATTCGTTTCTTTATTTACTTACAACTGAGTTTTACATAACTAGTTCTAAAGTAAGTCCATTGACCTTGCACATTGTCTCAGAAATGGAAATCCACTTTAAGCTCATTATTTTCATTATTTTGTCTTTTGCCTTTATCTTGCTCCTAAAATCAAGAACAATTATATATATATATATATA